CTGTCTCTGCCGCGCCCTGCGCCGGCTCCGGGCTCTCCTGCAACTCCTCCTGCGCCAGCACCTGGCTGAGAGAGACCTGGCGCTGGAACTCCGCCTTGGGCAGCGTGGCGATCTCGAAGTGCGGGAAGCGGGCCTGGAATATGCGGGAGGACAGCTTCAGCCGCTTGAGGACGTCGGAGAAGAGGAACCAGTTGCAGGGCCTGCGAGGACAGCAAGAGGATGGCGGGTTAGGGACAGAGGGGTCCACAGGCACGCTGCCCACCTCACTGACTGCCAGCACGCTGGCCCTCCCCTCGACGCAGCGCTGCCGGTGAGGTCCAGGCACTATCCTCCACGCGGTCCTCCTCCGCAGGGTCTGGACAGACCACACGTACAGGATCTAGGCTCAGGGACGCGCCTGGGTTTTTGATCGCTGCCCTGCAGGTCGCATCTATTTAAAGCACTCAAAGCAGGACAGGGACGTCGGTGTGAAAGTTACGCCTTCAAAGGGGTCCCGGTAGCATCCCCACCCAGCAATAAGCCACACCAGAGGCTCCATTTCCCACCCGGCCATTTCTCCTGGGTGCCGTACGTGTCCCTCTGGATGGGCAGAAATTGGCAGGCAGGGAAATTCGCTAAACAGAAAAGTAGCACTTTTGTCGCTGCCTCTTCCAAGCCACCTTTCTCCCCCCTGCAGTCCAAACAAACACAACAGCCACCGTCTCACAGGAGGTGCAGAAGGGAGGACTGCGCCAGGGCTGTGACCTGAGGTAGCCTTCCCCATGACGGGGGGGAAACAAGCTACGCAGACCCATCAATGCAAGCTGCTGCTGACCATGGCTGGAGAAAAATGGGGCTAGGAGCAACAACAGAGGGAGAAGAGAGGGAGGCTTCCTGACAGGCACGGCACAGGGACAGCAGACGGCAGCAGAACGCGTCTGGCCGTGCAGCAGGATTGCACGGGGAGACCCCTGACTACACCCTCCCGCTCGCAGAGGGCGGACGGGTCTGTCCCAGGCACTGCAGCAGCGCTGCCCCTGCCGTCGCACAGCCAGAGCTCTGCAGGAACGCGAGGAGCTGCACATCTCCAGACACTGACTGTGTTCCTGCAAGGTCCTGCCTTCAACCTGGTATCTCTAATCCTAATTTGAAGGAAAATAGCCACCTAAGATAGACCAGCTACTCTTAATCTCAAGGAGCTGAAATGACTGACGTGCTGCCGCCTGCGAATGGGGTGCCGGGGCTGTGACCACCTGTGGTACCAGACAGCCAACACAACACCAACTGTCTTTTTGGCTTTACCTGTGCTCCTTCTCTGTTTTGTTTTAAAGCAAGTCCATTCTTAAACCAAAGGGGTCTCTCCTTGCTTGGTTCCCCCATGTATAGGTCTCCCTCACCTGTAGTCCCTCAGCCTTTCTCCTCTTTTCACTAACTCCGGGGGACAAGACCAGGGAAACAGGGACTGAAGGACTTCACAGGCTTGGTGCTGTGCCAGCCATCAGCCAGTGAATCCCAGGCTGGGACTTCTTTAAGCATATGATGATCTCAGAGGTCCTTTCCAACCTTAATCCTTCTATGATTCTATATCCACACCGCGGGAGCGTCCCCCCAGGTTCCTCCACAGTCACTGAAGAGCCGATCGGTCACGCCCAGCGGTTCATCTCCGCCTGACGTTCACTCCTGCCCTCGTTTGGATAAAACCTGCTGACAAGGCGCTGCTGACTGAACAAGAGACCGAGGTGACCAACTCAGGGGTGGACCTCTGAGAATCAGTCAAACAAATTCCACCTTGCCCTGCATCTTCCACTTGCTTCTCTGACTTGGGGCTTACCGAGTCTGGTTTCTACCTTCACACTTTTCTAAAAAAGTCTATGCAATGCTTCATTATGAGATGGCGTACGATGGGGAGTGTGCCGCAAGAGGCATGTTACTGCCTCAGCCGCAGCAGTTTGCTCCTCCCAGGATGCTGCAGTAGCTCCATTCCTCCGTGCCTCTGCCTGCAGAACAGGGATAAAGGAATCTCCTCCTTTGGAGGAGTGCTTTGAGATCTACAGGACACAAGGGCAACTCTACACAGCCTGTCTCCTTAGCACGCGCTCAGCTTGGGCTCTCAAAGTTTCCCAGGCAGGCAGGACTCTTCCATGCATGAACATCTCGTGTTATCCCTCACCTGGAGGACAGCCTAGGGCTTTCTTGTGCTGCTGCTATCCTCACGAGCTCCAGGGCTCTGTTCTGTGAGCTCCCCCTCCACCCCAGCATCAATGCCACCCAATCGCTCTCTGCTCCAGGAAAAGACACTCACCCCCGAGAGACTGACACTTGGAGGTTGTAGCTGGGAAGCAGTGGCTTGTCTGAGAACTCAAACATGAAGTTGTCTGCTTCTTGCTCCTCTTCCTCCTGGTCTGAACTTCCCGGAGGGTTGAGCAGAAGATCGCATCCAATGGTATCTTTCCCCTCTGCAACAAGCAAAACAGACGTTGGCATTGCTCACAGTTTCACACCAGCCAGTGCTCATCCATCGCTCGCTGGGCCAGCTACCACCGCCACCTCCCGTGCGCCTTCCCACAACGTCACAGCAGCTGTCAGGGCCAAGCCCCGGGGGCTCCTCGGGCTCTCCTCCCAGCCCCTCGTCTCGCAGAAACTCCGAGCGAGCGCTGGCTGCTCCGCACAGCGAGACTCCGCTCGGTGACGGGGTCGGGTAGAAAGAACACCGCGTGTCATAGCAGCAGCCTTCAGGTTTACACTGATCCCACCCGCGAGACGAGGCGCTGCCTGCTTGCAAAGCGAGCCACTTCCACTGGCAATCTTTCCTTGGGCCGACCACAGGCTGACCCCCAGACCCTCCCTGAAACGGCCTCAGCCCCCTCTCCTTCGCCGTCCTCGGCCTGGGGGAACCTGCGCCGGAGAGGAGGGAGGTGGATGTACGAGACGCTTTGCCTGCACGGATCCTCTAAAGCAAGGCGCTGCGCTCTGCTCGTTGAGTACTTCTCCGTCCAGATCCCACTCTCGACAGCTCTCAGCAGGTTATCTGGAGGTGCGTGCCAGCAACTGTGTCTAAATAAGGACTGCAAGGCTGTGCCACCAAACTGCGCAGCCGATCTGGAGATGAATACGGCAAACAACAACAAGCATGGCTCCAGAGAATCAGCCCCACAGATTTCTGGCTTAAAGCTGGCTGTTCCAGGAGGTGTCTGAGCTCCAGCAGGATTTGCTTCCGTAGGAGACAGAGAATAGCACACTTGATCCATAAACCATTTTAAGACAGTTAAACTTACTATTCACCAATCTGAAAAGCATCTCTTGAAAAACAGCTTGCTGCCTGCATTTTATTATTAAGAGGTATGAATAGCCTTGGGTTTGCAAAGCGGTTTTGTCCTGCTGACATGATACAGGGTAACTCCGAAAACTTCCAGAAAACAGAGTTTAGATTCTACAGAGAGAAGTGAGACCAAATGTGCTGGGAGCAAATAAACCAATCATGCAAAAGTTCAACACCACGCACGAGAGAAAAGGCTGCAAAAAAATCTTATGGTGTGCTGCAGGAGAAGGCTCCACGCACCATACTGCTCTACGAATAAACGCAGCACCCAGCGAGAACGTTATTTTAATAGAGAAACAACAGCAGATGACAGGAGACATGGGCTCAAACAGGGTCTCGGGAAAAAAAATGAAATCATTTTAGTCCTGCCAAGGAAAAACAAAAATCCCTAAGAGACAGAAAAACAGGGTGCTTAAATCTTCAAAACTTATTGCGGAATAGGACAAAAATAAGTGACATGAATATTGGTCTGATATCACTGCTAGGCAAAGCTGATATGCCACCACCGAAAAACCTCAAATTCCTTGAGCAACCCAGGAAAAAAGAATTAAATGCATTTAATGTGGCAACAATATGGTCCAAGGTCTATCCTGAAAGCTCTCCTCACGCAGTCCTGTCCGTTAGCGCCAGCGAAGGCTGCGCCAGGAACAGAACGTCCTGTACCCCCGCAGGGCAGCGCGGAGACAATCAGGCGCAACAATGCTAGTCCCAGGTGTGGAACAACACCCTGGAGCGGGACGCTGTCTCGGGGACTACAGCAGCACGCAGGGCGAGACGCTGATGACTTTACCATGCTCGGACCTCAGAGATCCCACACCCTGGCTTCTCTCATTATCTTTCGGCCCCCAGAGATTTGCAGACCTCAAGGAAAACGTGGACAACATTCCTGCCTCAAAGAACAGAAACAGATCGAGCAGGGGCCTGGGATTTCTCCTCCACCCCGAGGGACATGCAATGTTTTGTGCTTCAGCTGGTGGATCTGATGGAAAGGGAAACTTAGA